AAATCAACTAATACACGTCAGACTTTACACACATCAAACAAAAACGTTGTTTAGATGTACTATTACTACCAATAATACAACTTTTACTGAGTAATTCAGAAAGTGAACCGAGCCTGAGCCACCATTTGACATGTGGCTGAGAGGAGACAATAAGCCGACACTAACCTGCAGCTTTAGATCCTGTTTAACGCGTAAAAACGAGACTTTAAATCATAAATCACATCCGTGCACACTCGGGATAACTTGTTTAACAACCCTCACTGTGGAAATAACACGAAAACTAACAGTTTAACGGCGAATATCCGCGTTAAACCCGTTTGTTCTCACCTCTTCTTGTGTGTACGTCCGAGGGCTGCAGAACTGGCGCGAAACTGCGGGTGACGTGATTTTCGCGGGGAACTTTGGACCAATGAGAGGCCAGGATCGCGATTTTTGTTTCCGGCTGACTGTTGCACGGAAGAGGGAGGGAGGTGTGTTGAGTTTCTGCCGATGCGAGTTTAATTAAACACTAAGGGAAGCTTTAAAACGGAATAAATCGTTTGAAAAATACTTTTAAAAATTCTTATTTTTCTGGTTGGTATCTAAAAGACGATCTGCGTTTCCTGCGTGTGGCTTTGTGCTCATTCACCCCCTGAGCTGATTTGGTTTGGTCCAACAGAAAGCGATGGGTTTTTTTTTCTCTATCTTTATTTAAACAGCTGACGATGCCAAAATACAAAACATACAATCAAACACACGCTCAAACATGAAAAAAGACGTGACACCGGATCAACAGCTGGGTTATACATATAACAGATTATATATAAATAGAATTAAATAGAATTTATATAGTTTTAGAATTGACTAAAGAAATACAGTCCCCTTCCTTAAAGTCTCGTTGTCTTTCTTCTGTAACTAAGGTGTTATTTCAGTTTGCTGTTTCAGCATTTAGGTTTTCAGGTGTTTCTAATATTCTACCACCTTCAAGAGAGGAAAATAGAACCAGCTCTCACTTTAGTGCATCTGATCCTCCACCTTTACCATGGAAATAGGGTTTGTTTACCATCCATGGAGCACATAAACAGTGGATCTGAAATATTGAGAGAGAAACTCCTCATGTTCTGCTTTCTGGTGACTCCAATCTGAGCTTCCTCTGCAATAGTTTAACTTGGAAACGTCTTTAAAATGTACCACAACATAATGAAGACAGACTCCCACATATTCTGCTTTACTGTCAAATATTTAATCTCCTTTTCTTATTTATTTTTTTATCCCTCTTTATGATATTTGCTATATATGGCATGATTTCGTCCTCTTATTTTGAGGAATTAACCTCTTTAAATGTGCATACAGCAACTATTTACATATTGATTAATGAGCTTATTTGAGTTCATATATAAACGGATGGATTTTAACAGCTCACGTCCAAAACTTTGTGCTCATTCATAACATATAAAACTTAGCTGTGTTTTAGGAATCACGTGCTCCTCAACCATCTTACTGAAGTTGGCTGAAAAAGAGAATGCGGCACTTTTTTTTTTTTGCTATAACCAAGTAATAAACATTGATTAAATCTGTCTGAGACCCATATCTGTTGGAGGCATTGAAGCTATTAGTAATGTTAGTGTTTTTTTCCCCCCAAAATAAAAGTCCTCTGCTTCCTCCATGTTCTAAAAATTGAGAGGGATGTATTCTTTCCATCATCCCCTAAAATCTTTTCCCATGCATGCAACACCCAGCTTAGACATTTTAAATATTTAACCATTATAAGCTTTGTAATGTTAGAATTCATGGCTGAGCTGCTTTACTGACTGATTGCAGAGGTAATAAGGGTATATCTAATGCTGTCTTAGGATCAGTCGTTTATCACGCATTGATTTCTTAAGATGGAACTTTCCATTTAGACACAGAAGTTTAATATCTAAACACGTCAACAATCTCTAGCAAACACAAATATAAACGCAGCATGAGTGTACTGACTTCTATTAATAGTTTTTAACATCTGTAAGTATTTGTTGTTCCCACACATGACATCTCTACAACGGAAACAGCCGACTGGATGTGATAATGTGCAGATGGAGAGCCGGGGTCATAGGCCAGAAATCACAGGTCAGTGATGATTCACATTATCAGGGACAAGATGATGTAATGTCACAATAATAAACACACGTCCATCCAGAGCATCATGTGGCACGTTGTCTGCCGGAAAGGATTCCTTAGACGACAAAAGATGGAGTTGTGGACGTTCAAGAGCCTGTTTATGGCCCAGACAGACACGTCAGCATCCATCCGTTCTCCTCTTTCTCTTGTCGTCTGTTGAAGGTGCATTTTAACGCGACCTTTTATCGTCACCGGTCAGATGAGTGTCTGAATACAAGTCATAATATCTGATCCGTGTCTTTTAAGAGCCACACCTGTCTGGGCTGCGGATCAACTCAAAGTTCAGTCATTTGTCACCAGTCGAACAGCTCATAGATTTTGGTGCACATTTGGTTAAATTTAACCCTTTAAAACAACAGAAACAAGAAGTTTAACTTTTCCTCTTTGTTGGAAAAGAAGACTATTCGCTGTGTTTATATTTTCAATATTGATATTGATTTGTCTTAAAAAAAAACATGGCAGAAATATTCAGAGTAAACTGACAAAATGTTTTTTTTTAATTATGGAAAATGTCAATTTTAAAATTATTTTATTGTCAGTTGTAAAATTGATAAACGTGTATGATATTGATAAGCATTTAACATGCTTAATTAGCTTATAAAAGCATGAAGGACATAATAAGAATTTTTCCTCCACACCTTATGACACATCCTGCAGCTTCGCACACCAACCACCGTGTGGCGCAGTTCCCATCCGAGAGAGGGCTGTGACAGAGGAAAAGTACTGCAAACTTCCTAGGAGGAAACATGGGAACATTTCCGAGAAGTGTCAGCACATGTGTTATTTAAGAGGAGCTCATATGGACACTGTTTGTAAGAAAATACGATCAGGTGCGTTTTATTTGTCACTTTTTTAAAAAAGTGTCCACCAGCCTGTCTACTAACGCACAATAATCACAAATAAACAAAACATAGATTTAAAACTGAATGTCTAATTCTGCCTGTATTTGCACTTTTTGCTGCAAAAATGTCTAAGAGCTATTCTGAGTGACTTTTGAGCCACTTCATGCTTTTACTCAACGTGTTTACAGATAAAAGCTGCTTTAATGGGTGATAAATAAATAAATAAACAAAAATGGCGAGTTTGTAAAATCTGGTAAATTGTTAAGAAAAAAAAAATACAAAAAGTGAGTCAGACGTTTGTGTTCCTGGTGACAAATAAAAGTTAATCCCGAACAGGCCGAGCTCGCGCTGCACTATGTAAACAAGTGGGAGCCATTCATGCGCTGGTAGTAGGAGGTGGGCGGCAGCGCGCGCACGCCCCTCCGTCCTCAAATGGGAAGTTTACCGACACCACGTGACCCCCGTTTGCACTTGACTGGCTCGTGAGAGGGCGGCATGTGTGACGTCGGCGGGGCGACGATACAAAACTCTCCGCGAAAGTAGCGACTCCTCAGAGAAGTGACAGGAGGTGTCCGAGAGCCGTGACAGCAGCCTGACAGGCAACACGCAGGGACACACGCCAGCAGAGCGAAGGGACAGAACAGCGCCTGCGCAGACAGAGCAGCCACTGCAGAGCTGTCACACCTGTGGCTTACTTTTCTTAAAAGTTTATTTCCTTCCTAAACCACGTGGGCAAGTCACCCGGGTTCATGTGCGACATATACAGCCTGGACTCCCACTGCGTGTCTCCACAATGCAACATGAGTTGGGCGATGGAGCCTGCTAACTTCTACGAGAGCTCCAAGCTGGGCGGCCCGCAGCAGGGGGTCTGCAAGCCGGGCAGCAGGAGCGACGGCGCGGCCGAGGACAGCAGCACCATGGTGGAGCTGAGCACCACCGCTGCCATGTACGACGACGAGAGCGCCATCGACTTCAGCCAGTACATCGAGTCCATGACGGCCGTGCCCAACCTGGAGCTGTGCAACGACGAGCTCTTCCTCGACCTGTTCAACACTGTGAAGCAGGAGAAGGCGGATTTCTACACCATGCAGGGCTCCGGGCTGCCCGGCGGCATGCAGCAGCTGTCAGCCGCCTACAGCGCCGAGCGGCGGGCGGACGGCGGGCTGGACAAGGGGCCGTTCAGCGCGCCCATCAAGCAGGAGTCCGACTGGAGTGACAGCGACATGTCCTCGTCCCTGCCGTCCCAGATCGAGACCTGCGCCCAGACCTCCGTCAGCCTGCCCACGGGGCAGCCGACGCCTCCCACCACCCCGGAGCCCGTCTCCTGCACGGCCAAGTCCTCGCCGCGGAAGATCGGCAGGGAGAAGGGCAAGAAGGCGGTGGACCGGCTGAGCGTGGAGTACCGACAGAGGCGAGAGAGGAATAACATAGCCGTGAGGAAAAGCAGGGACAAAGCCAAGAGGCGCAACCTGGAGATGCAGCAGAAGTTGCTTGAACTGAGCTCAGAGAACGACAGACTTCACAAAACCATCGAGCAGCTAACCAGAGAGCTCACCGGGCTCAGAGACTTCTTCAAGCAGATGCCCAGCTCCTCGTTCCCGGGCTCCACGGGGGCAGAGAGCCGGTGACAAACCCATTCTTCTATGAACTGAGCTTTTAGAAGACATACCTCAACAGACACTTTACCATCTGTACCAGATGTATTTTAAGCTTACCATAATGGCACTGGAAAATATATGATGTTGCTGCCATATTTTTTTGTGGGATTTTTCTCCGTATTAAATTATTTTACCACTGCATTTACATGATGTTATACCTGACATGGTACATGTTTTATAATTCCAAACTTTGTATAAGAGCCAGAGCATGATCTTTTATATAGTTTGTATGAAACCTTGAAAACATTTTTTTTGTTTTGTTTATGGAATCTATAATAAAATCGCTGAAAAGTTGCAGAAGTGTGTGGTCTGTGTTTAAGTTGAGGAAACAGAGGAGCAATGGGAAGTAGAAAGCATCAAGTCAGCAAAAAATAAACCTTTATTGACACTTCAGTACAGAGGTAGTGGAGTTGGAATAGGGGGGAAGGTTTTGAAAAAAGCCAACAGTCCTGATCTTAAAGTCACACTGGAGTCCATGAACCACGTGGGCCGCTCTGACAGACTGCATGCCACTGGTCTACCCTTGGGCTGTCAACTGCTGGTCCGCATATCATTAACACAAACAGGACCTTGTCTTCCCGCAGCCCGTTCTCCTCGCGCTGTCAGGGAGGCCTTCAGAGGGGGAGATGAGGATAAACTGGCTCAGAGCGAAGCCCCCGTGTGCAGATCCTTGGAGCCAGCTGAAGCCTGAGGATTGATACGGAGGTGGATCTCCTCCAGGCCGATCCAGAGGGCAGGCTTCCTGGTGACGGCTCGGACGTAAGCGGGGATGGGGCCCACCTCTTTTCCCAGGACATTCTCCACGTCGTAACCTGGGAACTGAAGCAGGCGGTTCAACAAACTGAACACATGCACAACTGCTTGTCTTTTCTTACAAACCACCTGTAGTTTAAATCACTTGCTGCTCTACGTCCACATGAAAAAAAAAAACACTCTGTACAGTAGTTGAATTTGATGACGCTGCAGAAATGTTTGCACTTAAGACCTTTGCACTCCCACGCTGGTCAGCAGTAATTCCAGTGATCTAAGACGTTAACGCCTACACTAAAACTACAGTATATGCACTTCATTATAACAATAGCACCCGTGTAGAAAATAGAGTGTAAAAACTGCATGCAAACTGAAGGAAAACACAATCAGCGGCTGCAGGAGGGAGTGGAAGATTACGTCAGTACTCTGGCAGCAAACTCCTTCAACTGTATCAATGACCGGCCTGATTATTTGAGTAGACGACTGTGCTTTCAGGACACGCTGACAGGAGATCAATGCGGCCCGTCGTTATGTAACGGCTCGTACAGCGAACGCACCTCGCTGCTCTCCAGCGCCGCGGCGTTCAGGACCGACTCGATGGTCTTCTGCTGCAGCTGTCGGGGAAGATAAAAGAGAGCAGTGATGTCTTTTTAATTATCGCCTCAGGAGTTGTAAATTGAGGCCGCGTTAACGCGTCGCGCTCTCCGGAGGGTAAACGAAGGAGTTAAATCATCAGCTGGCCGATAACGAAGGACTCTGATAAGTTTATCAGTTTGGCTCACTTCGATTTCTGATTGCAAAGTCACAGCAGGTTCTCTGTAATAAAACAGCGTCATGCAGATGTGCACATCGACTGTTTAATGCAGACAAGATGGATTTTATCTTTATGAGTCCCGCTGCAGGTTCAACGTGTGGATGCTTCAGCAGGACAGATGTTTGTTTAGGTTGGAGGTCACTCATCACTCCCCCTCCTATTCTGCTGCTTTTAGCACTATCATACTGCTAATATTAAAAAACACACAATAAATACACTTTTTCTTGCTACCTCCCTGTTGCTCCTGCAGAATAGTTTAGAATGTGTGGTTAGCTTAGCGTAGCATGAAAGCAGAAAGTGGGTGGAAACAGCAAGCTGGCTCCGTCCAAAGTCACAGAACATGAGTCGTTTAAGTTCATTAAGTAAGACTTTGCTTGTTTCATCTAATGACAGCTTGTTGTGAGACTTGTGCAAATGAATCAGTTTATGTCTTTGCTGCAAGGTTTTGAATCTAATTAAAACCTACAATTTAACATCAACAAAACATCAACATTTATGTGTTATACTTTCTACTAATACAACTAATTAACTGCAATGAAGTGGACACAAATAACAGGCAGAAAACTGACCGATTAAAAACACTTTTTGAAAACAGCGTTGCAATAAATGTCCACAAATATCTCAGATTTAACGTGAGACTACAGAGTGCAGGCCTATCTGTCTCTTTAAGCAACCATAAATAAAAAAGTTAATATAGTTGCTGTCTTACAAGTATTCAAGATATTTCATGCCTTTATTTTTTTTAGGGTGGACCTGCACTGGGAGTATTTAAGACTGTAGACACAGATACTCTGGGCACAGATCAAATGGCAGCCAGCCAGAAAGGAGTCCAGGAAGTTTCTGGTCCTGGCCAAGAAACTGTCTGAATCACGGCCTCATGTACAACAGTGAGTCATGTTCACATTACAGGTGTGTATGGACCGAACACACAGATATGACGCGTTAATCATTGAGCCGGTAGGTTGATCCAGTTGTGTTTTGGACACTTGTCACCTGTCTTTGTGCTCAGCTAAGCTAACTGGCTAATGGCTCTGGATTCCCACTTCCTAATCTCATCTAAAATAAGCATATTCAACTATTCATCCACTAAAAACACAACGAGTCCAAAGCATTTCGCCAGCTGAAGCTTGTACCTTAACCTTTATGGTGCCGTCGCTTAACAAAGACGACGTGAGGAACACCTCCAGCTGGATCTTCGTGTCTGGCTTGTCCACCGCCGTCTTGCAAGAAGCACAGCTGAAGCTTTGACTGTGAACACAGAACCACGTTACGATCCACCCGGGCGACAAACACAAACATATTCTAATAAATTACAACAACTTACAGTCCTTCAGCCGGCCTCTCTAAGCCGTCACTTCCACAGTGATTGCAGGCGGGCCAAGAAAACGCCGTGTTCTCGTCCACGCCGACTATCACCCCTGCACACACAAATACGACTATTAAAACCAGTAATCAACACAGTTTTCAGAAGCATTGGTGCACACTTTGCTGTTCTACGAGGTTCTTAGTTAACTCACAGCTCAATATTACTTATCGGCGTTTCTTTTTAGTGTCAACATCTTAACAAGAAGTAACAGCGATAAATGATCTACGCATCGGTTTCAAATTGTGTGTGTTAGTGACAGGGTGGAAGAGATAAACACATCCCTTTCATTTTTATCTCAGATGGCAGAGATAAATGCAGCAGAGACGCACACTGCTTAACACCATCTCGCTTGACAACCGGAGTTGCTGCCCCACAAACACAAACATGGCTCCTCAAAAAAAAAAAAGAAAGAAAAGATACTGCACTTGAACCTGATAATAACTTCTCGTGCTTTTGGCCTTTTTTCCGCTGGTAATTTCCAGAAGGTACGACTCGTGCACGAGTGCAAAAGACAATCATTTTGTTTTATTTTCATTCAGCCACCTGAGCAAACATGTGGAGCCACAGAGGCCAGAACCGAGAGGGCTCACAGTTTGATCTTTGCCCTCAACTGTGACATGAAGGCAGCAGATGCAGATTATTATCTGCTTTATGGTACTTTTTTTTTTTTACACCGCATTTACATAATTCAAAGGACTCGAGGAAAAATTCACAAGAAGGACTTTTAACTGATATGTGAAGGAGTGAGTGCACTTCTGTTTTAACCAGGCAGCAGAGTTTATTTATCTCTGAGTTGTGACAGCTGTTGGAAATCATAGCTGCATGTTTGCGAACATTAAAAAGTCCTAAAATGTCAAGAAACAACACGACTTGTAAGCAAAAAAGTAATGATTGAGGGTAATAGAACAATGCGCCCACTGGCTGTAACTCACTGTCACAATGTTATTCCACCCTCCACTGAAACTCAAAGCCTCATGGGGAGCGGGCATGTTAATTTCACTGAAAAATGACATGGGAATTCACATGAATCCAACAATATTTCAAGTGTTTTCATTTCATAAAGTCCCTAACAATGGCAGCCCGAGGACACTGAATAACAAACAGCAGAAATGCGATGCCTTGCAGCCACATCAAAGCATCCGGGTCGCTATAAACTTATATATATAAAAAAACAAGCGGTTTTCTTCCCCTGACACATCGGGCATGCTCTGCAGAAATCACTTTAGATGAGGCGAGCTACAAGGAAAACCACAGCACTGAGTGAAAGGCAGAAACCGACCTGTGAGAGTGCACAGGGAGTTGGGTGTGGTCTCTGCGCTCAGGGGATCCAGTCTCACAGGCCGGGGCAGGGTCTCCGCCTGGGGCTCGGCCAGCGACTGCAAAGGCCCGGTTGTGGACTCGAGAAGGGCCTCGGGCTCCACGGGGCAAACCTCGACGACGGACTGCTCGGCACAGACGAGGACGCCTGCGTTTTGAAGTGTTGAAATTAAAATAAGATAAGAACAAACAGTCAGAACAAATAGCAGCAGCAGTTCCCTCCAAAACCTGCAAACACACATTTTAGTGTTTATAACTGTCAACAACTCAGAAACATCCGAAACACATTTTTGCAAAGAGTTGCATGATGAAAAGATTTTAAAATCCCTACTTTATACCTAATTTCATTGTCTTTTATGCAGCTTTAAATCAACCCAGTAACCAGTGATGGAAAGCAGCTAAACCATTTCCTTACTGCACCAGTGCTTATAGGAGAGTTTTGGTTTGTTTCAGTTTTGCGTATTTCCTATTGTTGTGGCTATTGCGGCTCTGTGGGCCGTGCTAACTTTGTACTCTCCACCATGGTACAGATTTGGGGAAACAAGAAGTCACACAAAATATTGTGCATCTGAGGACTAGTGCGAGCCCCCTGCAGCTTTCCTAAAGACAGCATTTAACACAATCATTTAAAAAGTTTGTCTTCAAGAGTAAAGATATTCTCATTAGCCAAATAAAAGCTTGTCTGGAAATTGAGTTTTTTTTGCAAATTGCTTTAAAGATCTCCATCCAGGACAAGTTAGCGGCTGATCTAATCACAGCAGAGTCATTTATTTGCACGCTTGTTTGTTTTCCTGTGTGAGGCTGCGGACAGCTTCTCATTTAACACGTTAGAGTTTGCAGACTCACACATAACAAAACAAATGTGTGGTTTTTGTAAAGTTGCAGGGAGGCAACCTGATAACCTGATACTTGCCGTTTGGTGCGACGCTGCCGAGTTTGACCGACCCACAGAGCGACAGCAGAAACATTCACACACTGAAATCAACACTAATTATCATTTAAGTACAATTCGGGGTTATTTAAAGTTTTTTTTTTGGTTTGGGCTTCAGATATTTATGAGCTTTTTATCTGTTTTAGCAAAGAGACATTTACCTTTAAACCTCCACGTGATTTAAATCCAATAACTGAGGTTTTTTTTTTTTTTTTTAATCAAAGAATTCAGAAATCTTGTCCTGCACACTGTTCTGCACCTGAGCTCACTTTAACAACCGTGCTTCATCTGTTGGAGCTTCGTCGGTCGAAGTTCACTCAGACGAGACAGGTTTGTTTGAGGACCTCAGCGTCGTGTTATTAAAGTGACTTCGAGTGACCGACAGACTTTCTTTGAGTTTATTCGAGCTGAGAATTTCTGATCCTTTGCATCTATCAACATGACATATCTTGAATCATCTCATGGCCGTGCACATTCACCTTGTAACCGCTCATTTTTAATGTCATTTCTAATAAAAATATCAGTCACAGGCCACATTGAAGTGCACAACCATCATTTTTACTGCTTATAATTAAAGTATACGAAGCTGACAATGCAGAATTCACTGTCCCTCACTGTCTGGGCGACTTCTGCACACAAGTCCCGTTAAATAACGCCTAAATGGTCAGAACAAAGCTTTACCGCGCTCTTTGATGGCATCTGTGAATGACATGCGACACACAGCGGGGGAATTCAGTGCTTCGAGGACGGAGGAAGTGAGCGCGCAGGAAGCGTTCACACACAGAGCCACTGTTCGTCTGCGAGGCGTCTCGGGCTGCTCCTCCTGAAGACTGGGGTCTGTCAGCACCAACCAAACCTCACCCTGGCCTACATCGGTGCTCTGACGTCGAAACACAGACAAAGACAGAGAAGCAGAGAAGAAGACTGAGAGCTACTTAGAAACAGAATGACCTAGAAAGACACACGTTTAAAGGAAACAAGAAGCAACAAAAGCTTACAAGGCAGAAATTGGATGGAAATTATCATGTGTGTTTGAAAAAAAAGTCATTTGAAAAACAGCCCTGATGAGGTTATTAATTCAACAAGCTACACACAGGATTAAAAAAAAGAGGTGTATCTGTGTTTCAGTGGTGTGAGTGCGTGGCAAAGTCCACCACTTTGATCTGAGCTGCTATCTCACTCTTGGTCAAAGTTTAAAGGTCTCGCCAATCAATGGTAAAGAACGCCAGGGCCTCACACAGATTGTCATACCCGGAGCGATACGAGCGCCGGCCTCGACGTCAGAGCTCGGCCTTATCAGTTTGTTAGTTTAAATGATCTCCACAGGACGAGTGAGGCGCTCCAGAAGGCGCAGTGTTTACTCTGCTCTTTAAACGAAGCCAAGAGAAATCAGTCACTGTTTGACTGTCAAGACCTGAAATACCTGCATTCTCTTGTACAAGACAGTGGCCGTGAAAGTGCAGCGGCAGGTTGTCGTCTCGCTCTGGAAAAAAAAAAGAAAAAAAAGGTTTAAAAAAAAAAAAATCCACACGCTGAAGATAAGTTATCGCAAACTCCTGCGTGTGAGAAGCTGTTCACCTGCAGTACGTCTTGTAAGGTTCGCGTGGCCGGGTGACGGTACAGCGGGGACTCGGTCTGCGGCTCGGTGGGCTCGACCGAGCTCTGCTGACCCGACAGCAGGTAGCAGAAGCTCGGAGCCGGGCCCACGGGTCGGCTTTCCTGCAGACACAAGACACGTATGGATGCGTTGGACTCAATGTGTGTCGCCATATGAATGAATTTCTCTATTTGCACACTCACACAGCACTGGAAGAATCTCATATCTAAAATGTAGTTTGTGTCATAAGTCTACTCACCAGGCTTAACTAAACTGCTTATTTCAAGATGTAATGTGCTACAGCAACAACCTGATGTGTTCTAATATCATCATATAATCTTCTATAGGCCCAACTTGCTGGCTTTAAGTGCAAATCTGACCCTCAGTTTGATGGCCACTACATCAGCAGCTGCAGGTTTAAACACCGTCAGCCTGCTTCCAGCCTCCTGAATCACCGTCCACATTTCCGATTCGATTAGTGATTCAAGCAGGTCTGGTGTTGGGCGCATAAAACCTCTTTTTCTGCCAAAAGTGGAGAAATATTTAACCAAACAGAGCTCAGCAGACGGATCGGGAGTGGGGATGTTATCTTCTTTTTCTACAAACAGCTCAAAGTGTGGACGAGACAAACGGTTAAACAAGTCGATGGAGAGGAAATAAACAACTCAAAACTCTGAGACGTCTTTGATTCTCCCCCCCCACGAAAAACAAGAACTTCTCCTGGCAACGACTACCACAGCTGAGAACAACACCAGCAGCTTGAATGTGTCAGTCGTTGCCGATTGTTGACTACAAAACGCCGTCAAACCTCGGAATCGGCGAGCGTTAAAGAAACAAAAAATGGCGTTTCAGTTTGTCTGTGAGGCTAAAACAATATTCTCCTTTCAGACGAACGCTCCCCGAATCCTGCTGACTGGATTTGTCTTTAATCAGCGCTGACTTTGATGATGGATTAACTGATAAAGTGATTTTGGGGGGGAAAGAATGCAGAACAATCTCTGGCCTCTGTTTCTCAGCTGCGACGGTTTTACGCTTTTGTGTTTCACGACATCACAAACCGATGATTGAGGCGACGGATTAGCTTCTTCATTTATCGTTTGGTCGAAAAGGAAATCGTCAGAAAACAGTCTTCAGAATACTTGCTGTGTCCGCTCACCAGCAGCACCAATCCACAGATAATCAGTTTGCAATGACGTCAAACACACAAAAAGCCATGAAATCGCACAATTCAGACACTGAAACCAATAAATGTTCGGGGAAAAGAAAACACACGAAAGAACAGATGACTTTCAATTTTTTTTTTCTTCCTGCAGAAATCCTGATTGCATTTTTGCACAAACACACATTACAATCAAGCTGAAACCACAGGCGGCTTCAGAAAAGAGGTCTTACTTTCACTGTAGTGAGGACTTACACTGGGCATACTAAGTGTGTTTCCATGATCTTTAAGAGGCATCGCTGGGGGCCACAGACTGTCTATCAAGCTGAAAAGCCTGCAGCTCCTGAGAGTAAGACAAAAAAAAAAAGGGAAGAAAAAAAACAGAGAGAGTTAAGGCGGGGGCGCTGAAGAGGGGGAAAGGAGGAGGAACGAGTGAATAAGGGACTTTAGTTGAGGAGACTGAAAGCTTTCACAGCCAGTTTCACTTCCACTGAAACATGAATCTGTTAGGACAGAGCTTGTTTTTACGTCACCCAGAATTAACAGCGAGCGTGCTTGGGCTGGCAGAGCAGAGACACACAGAAAACAGCTTTTACAAGCACAGACCAAAGGGTGGGAAAGCGGTTCGCACCCTATGCAAATTACATTATCATTGTGGTGCAAAAAAAACAGGGTTTAGAGAACCAATTACGGGCGCTTTTAAATGTCCGCGGCTTTAATGCTCGACCGGCGGCGCTCGTCTTCGCTCTTAATCGCCGTAATGACAGACTGAAGCTACTCGATGAGCTTTTATGAGCCTTCGTTGACGTCAAACTGATCGTGGAAGTGAAGATTAGAAATTAAAAAAGGGGAATAAGTATAACAGCTCAGTCTCTCTACTCTTTGTCCCATTGTCTCAGGCGTTCGGCTCAGGTCAGCGTCACTTATTGGTACGTGTGGGAGCTGTCATATCAGCCAGTGGGTGACAACCTGTTAGTCAGCCTCTAATCACAGAGTTCCTTTGTGTGGAACTGGTTCTGCAGCCCAGTCGAGTCCAGTGAGGGCTGCTGGAGGATGAGTAACGACAAGCTAACAGGGCTCATTCAACACGCTGAGATTCTGCATGCTTGTTGGTTTAAAGTACGTCTGGGTCTAAGGTGCTGCTGGAGCTGCGACCTGGCAATCATCAAATCTGCATTTTTTTAATTTTTTTTTAATTTATTAAGACCTAAAGTGTGGCTTAATCCTGAAAACTGCAACTTTGAAATCTGCATTTAGTTGGAACACGTCCAAAAAATGTGCAACTTATTTCCTGTGAACATCAGTCCTTCCCATGAAACTAATCCGAGGCACATTACTCACACAGGTGCCGGGCTGATCATTTTACAAAGCCCACATTGTAACGGAGTATTTCGACATTTGGGGAACAGCTCGCATCGACTGTCATGCAGAGAGAGATCTGAAGGTTGATACTCACACCTGTCTGTTAAATATGTATGTAGGTGTTGGGGTAGTTCAGGGAATTAACGAGCACCATTGAACACTAACAGTATATGTTGCTTGTGGTAAAAAAATAAAGAAAACAGCACAGAATTGAGGTGGACTTGACAGAACCAGGCTGTTCCTATATTTTGAGCTAACCTTCTGTCAGCTGAAGCTTGATATTTAGACCCTCTGAAATCATTTCTGGTGTTTTTTCTCACATTTTGACTCACTGTGGGTTCATTGTTCACTGCAATTAACAATCTATGGAAACAGCACAACCACAGAGGAGGAGAGCGAACTCAGAAATGTCTTCTGTGCAGCATCACAAAGCTATAATGCCAAAAAACATAAAAATTAACAATCCAAAGATGAATTTCTTCTTTACACAAAAAAATGAAAACAAACAAATAAAAAAAACAGTCCGATTGTGTGCATCATTTTTCCGGGTGTTACTGACGCTGCCGATTTCACCGACGACATTTTTTTGTTTCCACAGAAGCAGAATTTCTCATAAAATCTGCTTCGAGCAAATATTAAACAGCATATTTAAACCAATTTAAACCGATTTTAGGCTGAGATTTGGTTAAGAATGTTAAAAATCTGACGTTCTTGCAGTTTCTGTTTCTGATAAAGTTTGACCATTTCTTTAAAAAGGGAACAGGCCTCGCTAACTGTCTGGCGGGTTTTGTGGTTCAGAGGTTGAATGTAGAAAGATCGGAGTGGTTTCGATCCTCTGGAGCTTCATCAAACTATTTGACTAGTCGAACATTCACTGCATAGGTGTTCGTAACTTTTGGTTATTTTTTTGTATTTTATTTGCTAAATGTAAGTGAACACTAAGGATAAAAAAAGGCATCTTGTCTGCACATTCTTGTCCTATATTTACACATTTTAATTGCACTGCTAGTAAACGCACGCTCGAGTTCATGCTGGCAGTTAAGAGGAGACAAAATTCCACAGAGCTCGGCTGTGTGGGAACACTTAAAGCCGACGATGACAAGACGGAGGCAGCGTGCCAGATATTCAATATGAAACTGGCTTACCAGAATCCCAACTAACATGAAACTGTTTTGATTATTGTTCTCCCGTGTAAAAAAACAAAAAAACCAGAGACCTTCACTTTGCAAACTGTGTGGCTGCGACGATCAAGCTGCCGTTTGGACAGAAAATAAAACGTCATGAGCGAACACCTGAAGCAAAGGTAAAAATGTAGAGGCGCCCAGTCTAATGATGACTCTGTTAAAGGGAAAGTCAGCTCATTATTTGAATATCTGACCGACAATCTTCTCCAACTCTTTGCATTAAATAAAAAAAATAAACTATCCCTTTATACTAGATTTCAGTTGCCAGTGCAGATTTCTGTTTAGGAACTGTTGCAAATTATTAAATTTCCGGACCCCTAATTTTAAAATCAAATTAAAGTCAGACTCCTAGGGTGTGATATTTGGGATTTCAGCCACATAGCTTGAATACAACACTTATAAACCTACAGCTAACGGCCTGTTAGCTGAGCTGAGAGTACAAATGGAAGAAAAAAAAAACCTGAGCTTGCCTGGGTCAAAAGGTGAGAAAATCTGGCTGAAGGCACCTCTAAGGCTTATGGTTTAGCAGGTTATAGCCTGTTTGTTCAATCCATACAAAAGCTGAACCGTAAAATGACACACGGCGGCATTACAGGGTGCTTATGCTGGACTAGTTCTTGGCTGGTAAAGTGACTTTGTTGTCACGGCGAGGTTAGTCGGTGTGGTTTAGGCTGGATTTACGGCCTGTCTGAGCTGCTTCTTTTCACTTTACACTTCATACCGAGAGACTGTAAACCAGCCTTCAGAGGTCTTTTGTTCTTAACTTTGGATCGAGTCAGGCCTTCTCCTCACTTCTAGTCTTTATGCTAAGCTAACAAGCTATCAGAGCAGTTACAGTCTTCTCATCCAACTTCTTTCCAAACTATTCCTTTAAGATGTGAACAATTTCTAAGAAGGTGTGAAAATTTCTAGGAACCGGAGGGGTGGAAAAAAAAGAATGCCTAATTTAACTTAACCCACATGTTTTTCTGCTCAAGCTAATAAGATAGCCCATGCGCAAACACGAAAGATATCCCATCCATCACAGCCTGACCACAGACAACCTCCAGAGAAATTATAGGCTGCGGTGGCATTGGAAATACCAGCGATGTAAACATACCCCCAGCCAGCCTCTAAATGTTCCCATGTCAGTTCTTCTAACTGCTTCTAATCTGGGCTCCTGACTATGGAAACTCACAGGGGACACAGAGCATGCACCTCGGTATCACTTTACATGTAAACACGGCCGCGCTGCCGGCAGAACGGCATCATCAGGTTCACGGGAGGTGCAGCATTAAGTCGTATTGTAAATGCGAGTGTCGGTGTTGATGAAGGGGGCATTTAAGGCGACGCGTTGTGGAGGGAACGCACTGAAGCCAAGATGTATGTCATGATTTAGCCCGAGGCTCACAGGATCAATAGCACGCGGCCCCGAGGCTACCACACTGTTACCTGTCTATCACAAGCGTTCACCTTCTGTTACTGCACCAGACGGCTACGGAGCGACGCAGGGTGACTTTGCATATAGCAGGAAGCACATCACACATTGCTCACAGGCTGTGAACTGAAGCTCAGGTGAAAAGCTGCCCTGGCTGGATGGAGGAGGAGGAGGAGGATGATGAGGGTGTGGGTTTCACCTTTCTCGAGTGACCCGCTGCACCACTTTGATGCCTCTCAGCACACAGTTCCTCCCCTGCCACATCTGGCGGTACCGGCTGAGGTCGTCCTCGCGGGGCAGGAGGTGGAGCTGGACCACGCTGAAGGTCCCGTAGCCGTCCTGGACCAGCACACACAACCTGGGCACAGAAAAACAAAACAGCACTCTAATATTTATATGCATTAATCTTGTTAGTAGTGTCTGTTTGCATTCAGTGTTTCTCTGTAAAACACACCGAGTGCATCCTTGAGGCAGTGAAAATAACAAATATGTTTAAAGCATTACCGTCCTCGTAAAAGCAATTTTCTGACTACTTTGAATTGTTTACCGTCATGTTTACCAGCTAGCAGCATATTTGCCATGAAATTTACTCCCACTGTAGAAACACGGCTGCAAAAATCACAATAACTTTCATCCAAATGTGTTGCCAAAGTTGTAATCGATTAGATTACGTCAAGAGAAAAAAGCAATATTCTGCACAACGAGCACTGACCATCAAGACCTTGATGTCAAAAAGCTGTTCCTTTAAACTTTAAAGCAAACATGGACAAAAAGTGTAAACATGAAACTGAGCAAACGCAGCAGGAACTACTGGCTCGTCTAACTCTGCACAAAATACAACCCATTTATATATAACCGACACACATGTGGTTTAACTGCATGTACTTGTGTTTATAATGTCACTACAATAAGAAGATTGTTGTATCTGATCCTGTTTAACACAATATTGTTATTTAGAGAAAAGCAGCAGCAGCGGTGACGAAGCAGCAGCACACAGTCGAGGCTTGGTCCTGACATTTGTAAGTGTTAATGCCGGTGGCTGGTTTGACAGGCTGCTGTTGACAGAAAAGACCTTTGGCCTACAAAGTTGTGAGTCAGTGTTCCTGCACAAGAGCCTGAACCGCTATAGGCTCCAGTATCTCAGTCAGTCAAGCCCAGACACAGCCCTGAGAGTAAACAGTGGAGTTCATATCCCCTGGTTAGACAAGCAACGGCCAGGGAAGAAGAGGAGGAGGAGGAGGAGGAAGAAACATCGGGAAAGAGGGAGGAGGACTGTCAGCGTGTCCATCATGCATGTGCATGCATGCGCACATCCCAGACATCGGGAAAAATTCTGAGACTGTTTTCAGGCACCTGATTGGGTCTATGAATGTTTTCTGTTGCTAAACGTGGGGTCTGTCTCTGTTTGCCTTGAGAGACCTGGAAATAGATATCTAAATAACATTCCTGACGTGACTTTTGGTGGAGTAAGCCAAAGTTTCAACCAAGATTATTCTCAGTTGTTTGTTTAATTCACAATCCCGAATCAGACATAAATATCATTCTGTTAAAGCCGCAAGTTACGTTTGACACACGAAACCGAGACAAATAACGCTGTCTGACTGTTTTTTTGCTTATCGAGCAGTAAACATGAGCGCAGAACTTCAAAGCTCAGAGCAAATGGACCTCCATCCTTCTTACTGTCCATTAATCACCGGAGGGACCCGTCACCCGGTGACACGCCGGGCACTTTGTCAAGTCAGACAAGAAAGGGCCTCCAGAAAACTGTAATTTCTGAAAGACAAATATTTTCACATTCTTTCAAAACAAGAAAACAATACTTAGTGCAGCTGGAGCATTAGGCTACTGTCCTATCATGAACCCCGCCATAAACAACTGGAAGTGGCTTGCTGACAAACAGGGACATCATTTATACGTCTGTCAGTCTCGCTTTCTAGTTTGTTGTTGATTTACCAACAGACACTCAGTGTAGAGTGATGGAACACACTGAAACCAGCTCAGCATGTTAGCTCCATGACTGACTTACAAATGATTATGAAGCAGTGATGAACGATATTAAAATTTCTAGCCGATACCGATATTAAGATTGCTGATATCGCCGATAACCGATATTACCGATGTCGATATTCAGTTTTTGTTCACACCAAAAAATTAGTGTAAGTGAGCACTGTGAGAACGTAGAAACTATTCAGAAGAAGCTCAAATTAGACTAAACAGTCTTCTCTATGACATCACAAAAGTAAAACATATTTAAACATATTTTACTATATTTAGGTAAAAACATCTGTGAAATAGCAGCGATATCAAATGTAGAGACGAAGGCGCTGATGGTTTTTTTTTTCTTTTCTTTTCTCCACATCGGCTAAATTTGTTCATCGGACCGATACCGGTATATTTGGGAAAAACACTAATATCGGCCAATACCGATGTGGTCACCGATATATCGTGCATCCCTACTATTAAGTCATAAAAATATATGTTACCTACAATAATAACCATTTCTGCAGGTTACATTAGTGTTCCATAGCCAGACCACCGTGGGGCAGGTTGGCTCGTTGGTCTAGATCAGGGGTGGGCAATCCTGGTCCTCGAGGGCCACAATCCTGCATGTTTTAGATGCTTCCCTCTTCCAACACACCTGATTCACATGATCAGGATCGTTATCAGGCTTCTGCAGAGCTTGATCATGAGCTGATCATTTGAATCAGGTGTGTTGGAAGAGAGAAACATCTAAAACATGCAGGACTGTGGCCCTCGAGGACCAGGATTGCACACCCCTGATCCAGGGATACGACAGTCGCTTACAGAGGGTTCAAATCCCAGACGAACCCGGTTCATGGGAAGGCGCTGAAGGTATCAGCTGTTTAATCCGAGGCTCCTAGACAGTGTCCTCAGGGCTGGAGTGACAGGAGATTTTGTGTGAATGAGTAAAACTAAACAGCATTTTGGGCATCGGTAAGGTAGCAAAGCACCATTTACAATTTACAGAACAGTCTGGCTGCACTTCATTATCATGATGTTGGGAGGAAAAAAAAAAAAAAAAGGCTGTGGCTTATTTGTGATGGGTGGAGTAAAGTGAAGGGCGCAGCTTTGGTGTTCCCGTAAAATAGTGACGGTGGAACATTTGCATGCAAGGAAGCAAGCATTTTTATAAAAATGAATAATTCACGAAAACAAGCAGGACGGCTTTACTGCATGAACCGAAACTCCTGCTTTCAGTGCAGCAGAATGGAAGCTGTTGCTTCAGGTAACGAAGTAGATTTTTAAAGCGGTAACATGCAGATAGCGAAGGGGGAGGAGAAAGCCATGTGAAATGCGAAGTCTTATAACTAGAGATGCACGATATTAAAATTTCCGGCCGATACCGATACCCGATATTAAGATTTCTGATATTGCCGATAACTGATATTACCGATGTCGATATTAAATTTTTGTTCACACTGAAAAAATTGTGAAAACTATCAAAAAAAAAAAATGCCCAAATTAGACCACATAGTCTTCTTTATTACGTAACAAAAGGAAAACATGTTTAAACATATTTAATGTTCAAGTCCATTTAAGTAAAGACATCTGTGAAATAGCAGCGATATCAAATGTAGAGACGAAGGCGCTGATGTTAGACAACCATCATTTTTTCACATCGGCTAAATTTGTTCATCGCACCGATACCGATGTGGTCGCCGATATATCGTGCATCTCTACTTATAACTGCAATCTATATCCGGTGAATGGAGATAAATAGATAAACAATATACCAACATTAGAAGTCCAACTGTTCACACTATGAGCAACAACAACAACAACCCCAAACAGTTCACGCCGGTGATGTTGTGTTCATCCTTTTGCAACAAGTCCCACGAAAAACTAAAATTAACAGTGCATTTCCAAACATCACCACGCACTCCGAGGACTATTTTCGGCTGCTGAATAATACTCGTTTCACGCTCTAGTGAGTATTTATTGCTTCACATGTGTCAATGACCCAAAATAAACCACAGAGCGAACGCTAGTCGTAGTGAAGGAACCTGTCACCCACTGCAACGTTGTGATTCACAGATGTTTTTAATAGTTTTTGGATAACCCCGGAGGTCTCTGTGACAAAAGGGATGAACCGTATCAGGCGCTGGATATAAACAAGATTTTGGTCTTTTCATGCAAACTACTGATCAAAAGAAGAGAAAAGTTAGGATGTAGCTTTCACTATATACACAATAAATACATTATTATATTATTATTAGAAGAAGAAACTAAAAATAGAGTCACGTATTAGTCAACCAAAGGGAACACAAAGATATCAGACTAAATCAGTAAATCAATATCTGACCTTTCCTAAAATGTGAATACAGCTGTTGGGGTCTTATTTGTCGGGGATGTTTATATATACACACACACACACTTTCACTTTGAGCAGAGCGTGTTCAAGCTTGAAAAAAAAAAAAAAACGTCGTGTGAAATCTGATAGGACACCTGACAGCTAGAAAAGAAGAGCGATGAGACTCGTCGAGGAACCAGCTTGACATAAACAACCACCTCCGCACTCTGGTCCCTCCTTTTTAGCCGTTCGCAGCCCCACTTCCTCAAACAGTGACCCCCGGCTCCCCCAGAAGCCCCTCTGCCATTGGCCGCTTTCAGTCGCGGGCCGTTTTCAGGAATTTGTTATTGTGAGCGATCACAGAATTCTCGGCAACTCAGGTTTTCTTCCTGGAAGTACGATCCATTGAGCCTGTGCAAACACACACACGCGCTCCTTCACACACACACACACACATAGAATCACACAGCGAGCGCATGCAAGCCAGCGCACATGCACACTACTTGGCAACACACTAAGTAAGCGACCCACACATTAAGAACACAGCAGAGAGGCCTCATTGGTGGGGGGGCGGACAGGCGGGATTCCTTCCTATGCGTGGTCCACCAATCGGTGTCGGCAGAGTGATAAACACGGTTGTAACAGGATCCCAGCAGCACATTGTGTTCCTTCTCCACTGAGAAAAAAAAACAACAAAAAAAAAAAACCAGCAACTAGGCTCTCCTCACTTCCTGCAAACAGTTAATCTTCTTGTTTATTCTACTCCAAACTTACGGGAAACTTAACATCTTCTTCAGGCATAAATATCGTACTGGCCTGTCTCCCTTGTGTGTTAACGCAGAGGCTAAACAACAAAAGGATCAAATAAGCAAGCTGACCAGGAGAGTGAGTCACAGAGGCTGGGGACACAACACGAGAGGCACAAAGTGTTCCTGTCTATACAGAACGAGGCCAGTGGGCTGCGGAGTAAACTACTCTGGTCTCCGCAGAGCAGGCATGCATCCTGGAAAAGTACCACACGATGTACCGACTGTTGTTGTTTTTTT